CTCTTTCTCTTGAGACCCCCGCGTTTTAGCAAATTGTTTGCCAGAGGTGTTGTTGTATCTTCAGAGTTTGTATTTTTCTCTCTCGTTTTTTTCTTCATTTGTGAAGTATAAACAACATGAATGAAAATAATATAAACAAGATTCAGTCAACATTAATCGATTTTGGTAGAAATTGTAAATAAAAATTTGTATTTCTTCATTTTATGTTGTTTAAATTCACTTACTTGATTGACAAAATTCAAAATATTAGCATGAATATCCTCTTTTGCTACTTTTAGCTTCATGAAACGTTAAAATATGTCTTCCCTCCCCCAAAGTTAGCCCCTTTAAACTTTTGAACCAGTTTTTTTGGTTAATTAAAATAACAACTTTCATAAGATTTTATTATTAAAAATAAAATAAATTCCTTATGTAATTTAATTTTAAATTTTGCAAATACATCCTGGGAAGAACATAAAAGGATGCAAAAAGTGATCTCCAAAATTTTGGAATAAATTCTTTAATATTCTAGCAGGACAACGATTTGATAAACACATAACTGGGAAAAGGCAAGTTTGTTTATTCATGCCGTCATTAAAAATTCTTCCTCCTTAACGACGATTTTACGCACGAGAGGAAAAGTTTTTCACTTTCACATTAAACCGAGTTTGCTTTCCTCGACTCTTAATTATAGACAAAAAGCACGACCGCAAGAGTAGAGAGATGTCCCTGAGACTTAAAAAACATCAACTTTTCCTGTTTTGACAGAATTTCAGCGGACACCCCTAAAAGAGCCCGGAGAGAAATCTTCTTGGTACAGCAAGGCCGAAACAAACTTTTTCGGATGCGACGAGCAAAAAATCCCTCCCATATTTTGCCCTCATTCCGCGGCGATGAAAAAGTGGCAGGCTAAGTTTGTCACCCGTCGGTACTGATAGCACCACCGCCCAACCAATAATTAAACCCGAGTGAACAGAAAGCTTGAGGCCTCTTTCCAGAGATGGCTTTGGCGTCAGAGGCGCGCGCGGCCGCCACTGGAAAATCGACCAGCCAAAGCAAGAGCCCGGCAACGTACGGTCTTATCTGCGGCATTATTTCTCAGCCAGCTACTCTCAACATCGCGCGCCCAGAAATGAGTTTGCCACGAGTATGCGTGCGAAATGCAAACGAAACGTCTGTCAGCATAGAACTCGACGTGCGAGACAAATATGCATGCGAAACCGCTTATATGGTCACGCCAAAGCCGAAAGTGATTAATTATCGAGCTGCTTGATTAATAGTCGTGAAAAGTTGTTTTGATGGCTCAATCCCATCAAATTGAAAGCGACGATCGAATGTCTTTCTGCACTTTGCAATAATGCTGAAGCAAAATGCCATTGTTTTAAACTTGTTTATTTTTTTTATATAACTGATGATTTTTTAACATAAAAAAGTGTAAATGAAATTTTTTTTACCTGATTTCATGACACTATTTTCTTTTTTAAGCTTTATGATTTTTATTTTAGTGATTGACTTTGATTTTGATATAATAAAGGTTATTTCTCCAAAAATTCATAATGCCATAGTGCGATCCTCTTTTGACCGCAGTGGAGGCAGAAACTCTTTAAGGCTTCCTGTCAGTAAAATGGCCAGTCTGTATCTATTCAATAAAAAGAGTTTTTTTTTATAAATTTATGGCCTAGGAATTAAAGTTAGTTAAATTTTTCTTTGAAACATTCCATAACAACTCTTCTTGCTAATTGTTAGCAACTAATTGCAAATCAGAAAAATCGATTCGAATTTTAAGAAAAGGAAACGTCCAGATCCAGTCATTTATTAATATTATTCATATTATTATCATATTGTTTTTTTAAAGGATCATGCTTTTTCCTAGATTTTTTAATTAATTGTTTGATTTTATGTAATAATCTAGCGAATCTGTTTATAAATGATTAATAATAAAAATTACTATTTACGACAAGCAAGGCTAAATTATTTTGGTTGTAGAGACACGTATTAATAGCATCTAAATTTTTATATTGCATTATGTTTAAAAATAATTAAATTAAGTAAAATAAATAAATAAATTAATTTTTAATAAGAATGAAAATATTATCCATAAACAGCATCATTTTTATAATATTAAAAACTTTCTTTAAATATTTCTTAATCCAAGAAAATATTTTTAGCTTCATCAAACTTTTTATTAAAAAAAAAATTTAAATGTAATTTGAACAACAACCGCGTGATTCATCCTCTCCAGTGTGCTCTTTAGTTGCCACTCCAACAATTTAACAGCCCTAATAAGCAATAATCGCGGTATTTAAGCGCTCCAATTTCACTCTCAATGCGACGCGAGCCAGTTATCCAATTACTCCCCGCGCGCTCTGTTCGGCCGTCGCGCCTGCAGCGCAACCGTGTATGCAACCAGTGGGTTTTATCTGTTGCGCACTTTGCATACTTTGCGCGGCGACAGGTGATCAAAATTTTTGGGCAGGTGCGAATTAATATTATTTGCGCGTTAAACGTTTTCCTACTAACTCGTCACGGATTTCCTGGTGGCGGAGAGAAATAAAGAATCTCAGCCGACAATATTTAATATTAAACGTTTGGCGCCCACGCCATCATTGCAGATGCTGATGGCTGCGTGGTGTAATTACTCGAGTCTCATTCATGGAGCGGGCGGCATACGTATAATAATGATGATGCTGCAAAATGACGTCAAACTCGCCATGTGCATGCGGAAAAGACGTGCCGCAAAAAGTCTGGATTTCCAGCCCAGCGAGTCGCAGCAGCGGGTGGGATGGAAAGAACCCCGGCCGCACACTCATGTACACGCACACAAAATATCTCTTGGCCGGGATGAATGGGAAATGCTGCTTGAAAACACGAGCAGAGAGAGAACAGAAGGAGCGAGCGGTACTCACCATTTTTTCCTGCAGTCAGCAGGAAACAGAGAAGAGAAAAGAGTTAGTGTCGGGAGTAATGATTATTGATCAGCGCGTTTCAGAGAGGGGATGCCAGATTGGGTCACAAGCAATGGCAGCAGGAAAAGGAGAGTTGGAATCGGTCAGAATGAAATTAATCGGAAAGCCAATTATACAAAAACCTGAAATTGAGGCAATAGTTGACATATTAGAAAGACAAAATATTTATAATTAATTTTGACTGGGCATTGACGATTTCAAACGTTCAAATAAAACTTTATTTCAATGAGCAAATAATAACTTTCATAAAAAATCTCATGCGACATAAATGAAGTACAATGAAATAAATAGTTAAAAATTAAATTCAATGAAAAGTTTTAAGTATATTTCAATTTTGAAATAAATTCCAAAACCAAACTAAAATTATTTTTTCTTTGGAACATATACAAGTATTTTTACCAATTCATTTTATTGATTAGGGGAAAAAGGCAAAAAATTAATTTACAGAAATGACAGTGGTGCTTATACTTTTATTTTATGTTTTGAAATTAAAAATTAAATTTTACCTTTGATACTAACAATTATTAAAAGTAAAGTCAACGAATTTTTATTACAAATGAAGATTGATTTAAAGAAATAATGTTCCTGTAAAAGTTATTATTTTTAGTATTTTAATTTATAGCAAATTGAAATTATTTTCATTCTGACTGAAGAAACTTTGAATCGTGCAAGGAGGGATCGGTTTGGAAGGTCAAAAGGTTTTTCTTCTAGTGCAAGCAGCATTAATTTGAACTTTTCAATCGAGCTGGACTGAAAACGAGTGGGAGAGCGAGCGACGGACGGAAAGAGGGCGAGTGAGACCTCGCGCGCGCGGGCGCTTTGTTTGCTCCCAAAGTTCAGTCCCACTATTGAAGCGCGCGCTCGTATGTACAAAAAGTATATGCCTGCGTGCACTAGGGATTACAGTTCACTTAATGCCAAAGTGTGTGCGAGTTTGTATGAATATATGCGAGCCACATATAGAGGAGCCACCTCGCTCCAAACAGAGGGAAAGGGCTGCAAAGGTGCTGGCGGCAAAAACCACCCCAGAATCAAACTTCGCAAAATCGCCGACCAGCACCTGCAACCCACTCGTCTCATTCTGAATTAATTGAATTGTTTAATTACTTCGACTGCTAATAAAACAATATTTTAAAAATATATGATGCGTATTGCCTTGGGCGAAAAACATATTTTTTTCAATTAATATAAATAAGAAATTTTGATGAAAGAATTGGAAAAAAATGCTTTGGTCAAAATTTGTAAATTATATGTGTAAACTTTATCACAAGAAAAATATTTTATTTTTATAATGAAGATTAATATTACGAGCATCAATGAAAAAAATTTTTATTTATTTAAAAATCAGACTCTTAATAACAAGATAATAAAAACATAATGGTTTTCCAAAATTTCGTAATGCAAGTTTGTTCATTTAATAATTGAAACAGCAATGAGATATGAATTTTTTGTAAAAAAAATAATTTTGTTTTAAATTTGAAAATTATACTCTTATTTAATTTCAATGTTAATAAAGAAATTTAAAATCAGGGCACCGTGCGCTCTTACTTGATTCAAGAATGATACTAGTAAAATTTTCATCAATAAATACTCATCGCAATATTCAACAATATTTATATAATGAAAATTTAATTCAAGTTTTAATAACTTTTTATAAAATTCAATTGATGAAATAAAAATTTAAAACTATTTGAAAAAACTAATTTATAAATTATAATATGTTAAAAATTAAAAACAAAATAATAGAGGTTGAAAAATTCAAATAGTTTTAAAAGTAAAATACTTTGTAACATTATTATTCATTAAATTAATTTTTTTTAAATGGAATATTAATTATGATCAAATTTTCTACCAAGTAAAATTCATAAAAATATCACGCCGTTCTAACCGCACACACGTTTGAATTCAGCAAACTGCACTTAATTTGGGATCAAAAAAGATGTGGAAAATGTTAAAAAAAATCAAGATAAAAAACAAGAATATTAGAGGACGCTTTTGAACATATAAATGTAAGTAGGTCAAAAAAGAGTTCATAGAAAAAGTGGATTGTCTCACCATGAGCAGGTACAACAACAGCACCAACAAAAACAGCAGGGTTTGTTAGTCCTAGGAACGGCGACGACGGCGGCCATGGCGTTGTTATTGGCTTGCGGCGACGCGTCGGCGCCGACGGTCGCGTTGTTGGCACCCTTGTTGTTGGACGGGGAGGAGGCGTCGACGGTGGTGGACGTGGTGGTGGTGCGTAAGCGACAGCCTTCGTTGTTGGCCAGGCCGAAGGAAGCGTCGGCAGCGGCCGCCGTCTGCTGCTCGCGCTGCACCACCGTCGTGGTCACCGTCACGAACACGCGGCTCTCGTCGGGCGGCCCCGCCGCCTCTGGCGCTGTCGCCGCCGCCGCTGGAGACTTGCTGATGACCGAGAGTTGGCCGCCGCTGCTGCCGATGGCCGCCGACGGCGCTGCCTGCTGCGCCACGGGCGGGATGTACACTTGCTCAGTCTTCACGCTGGACATCTGGCAACAAACACAATTTACTTAATTAATATTTTGCATTTTCAAAATTCACGTTCATAATTTTTTGAATCAAAATAATAGCATAGTGTTCATAATTATAATAAAAAATATTAAAATTATAATTTTTAATGACTAATGACATAACATTATATGTTAAGGACTAAAATTATATTGCATGTAATAGACTAGGTTCAATATTTTTCCCCTACTTAATTAAATGCAGAACTAAAATGTAATAGAAAAATGGCAGCAAATAAGGTTCATTTATATTTCTCCACAAAAGTACTCACAGAAAAAATTTAGATCCGCATCGTGTTTACTTTTGCGATACTTCAGCTATACTTTTGCTATTCACTTGCTTTACTTTTTAAAAACTGTATACCTGTTTAACACGGGCCTTATGAGGGAGGGTTTTTATACCTGCTCGTCAAACTATTGTGTTTTGTAAAGAAAGGAGGGGGAGGGATGCAAACGCATGTATTTTAGAGCGCGGCCGGCAAGGGTCGCGCAGCAGGCGAGCTGTCAAAAGTAAACCTAGAGTATTGCAAATGTATGCGTGCGGGACCGAAAAATAAGCGTTTTAGACCGCGAGACGTGATGAATACTAAAAGTATACTAGAAGTATCGCAATTGTAAACACGATGGGTACCTAACCGATTTCTGTGAGTAAATAAAAATTTAATCTGAACCCTGCACTAAACTACTTGAAACTGTATGTTAATCATAGTTGAAATGAATTGCGGATTTGTGGTAAAAACAATGATATAAAATTAATTGTTCATTTGCTTCACAAAATTAATCTTTCTTTAATGAAGCTATAAGAGATCGAGAGTTTTATTTATTAATAATATTTTAATGTTTCCCCCAATTGCGAGTTTTTTTTTTTTATTCAAATTGGCCCTAAAATGTAATTTGTTTATTTTATTGATAGAAATTGTTAAATTAAAAAAATTTAATTTATCAATGGTTGATAAATCTTGGCTATCAGTGACATAAAAAACAAATAAATCACATTTAAATTTCAATATTACTTATTTATTCTTTATCTTTTTTGTGACATTAATTCATTTTTAAATAATCGAACTCGTTAAGGAAGTTTTCAACAATTATCATGAATTTCAATGCAATTTTTCTTGAATTTTAACAACATTGGTTTTTTCGTAACCCATAAAAAAAATACATTTTTCATTCCCGTCAGCAAGTTTGCTGCAGGAAGTTCTTAGATATCTTATCTCTTCCTAAATTAAAATAAAAGCGGGTTTCTGCGGTTTCGCGTATCTGGCGTTGGTCGGCAATTATTCCCCTTCGATTTGCTTTAATCAAAGTTCTGCATCCGCTTGACATACAGGAAAAATAAAACGTAAAAAATGTTCAGCTAGAGCCTAGAATTTTTATAAATATTTTTAGGGCTTGCATGATCATACCAAATACAATTTTCTGAAGTTTTATGTTGTTAAAGAACAAAGAATTTATTGAATCCCCCCAGTTTAAATTTAAAATTTTTTCATTTTTAAATAATAAAAAAAATGCTATGTTACATAAAGCTAAAATTAAAAATTAACTTTTCCTCAATGATTGTTTTTTTACATATTAAAAAAAGGAATATATAAATCCAGATGCACTGCACACCAACCATCAAGGAAAATCTGACTTTAAATTCAAACGATATGAATCATAACCCTCATTTATCAATATAATTTATATTTTTAGCAAAGTGTAATTAATACGTTTGAATTTTATAAAATTTCATTAAGCCTGGCCAGCTCAGTCTCTTAATCTCAGGGTTGTGGGTTCAAGCCCCACGTTGGGCGCGTGTTTGTTTATTCTCACTTGGATTAATAAATCAGCATAAAATTATATTGAAAAATTACCAATATATTAAATAAAAATTAATATAATAATAATATTTAAAAAAACAAATACCTCAAAATTTTTCTTAATTAATGGTTAGATATTTTTTTGCATATCACTACATAATTAACCAACATAGCGTCAAGACTCTTGACTCGAGTGCACTTTGCACGAAAAAGCTCATCATGAAAGAAAGACTTTTAGCGCGGCAGGTAATTGCACCGGTCGGAATTAATCAGCGCTCGAGCTAATAAAGCAATCGAGCAACTCCAGAGCAAACGGAGCGAGTGAGTGTCAAAGCAGAGTTCAAGAGCCGCCGCAACCAGCATCTCTCCCGTGAGCATCGAATTAAAAAAAAAATAATAATAAACTACCTGCAGCAGGTGTTCGAGGGCTGCACTGTACGGAGTCAATGCACCGACGGGCGGCGCCGACACTCGCCGCAACATGTTCATCGTCCGCACCAACACCAAGCACTGACATTGTTTTAATGTTGGCTGCGTCGTCGGTTCGCCGCCTCCCCCACGCCTCAAAAAAGCAGCTCAAGAAGAAAAGTGGTGTCGCGGAGGCTGCGAGAGGCAAAAAACTCGACATTCACACGGATGTGACGCCGGGGAGAGGATTGACAGACGAGTTGCGGCGCCGAAAATTAATTAGGAACAGCACAATTAGCCGTGCCGAGAGCGGCTTACTAATCAAACTTTGATGGCGAACGCATAATGAACTTCTTATTGTTTTATCTAGGAGGAAACCACACACACTCGCAGTTTCCGTCGCCGATCCCGAAACCGCCGCCGCCGCCGCCGCCATGTCTGCGCCTTTTATGTAATAAGCACGCATTTAATTATCTTGTGTATGTCGAATAAGAAACACTGCCGTGTGTCACATGGTAGATCATTAATCTGTCCACGTTTGGCGGCGCAGCGAGGAGTGTGGTGCGCGACGAACTCGGTGCCCCGCGCCACGTGCAAAAAACACCCGCCAATCGATCTGTGTGGCCTTGCCACTGTAAATAAATTACTTATCTCGATTCAGGTCGTCGTACTGTGATATAAGTCTCTGAATAAGCAAAAATAGCGCCCAACGTGGGGCTCGAACCCACGACCCTGAGATTAAGAGTCTCATGCTCTACCGACTGAGCTAGCCGGGCTTATAAAACTTAAAAAAAAAGTGTTTTCCTAAGTTCTCAAGATTATTAGAGGGATTTTATTAGGAAAAGTAACATTCAAGTTGGGGTTTTAAAAACAAATAAATCTTTAGAAGTATCTATAATATTTTTGCAATAATAACAAAATCCAATATTAAATAAATTGCGATAGATATAATTCAAAACTACACTGAGAGATTTTTTGTGAAAATAGTTTAAAGTGAATAAGTAAATTTCATTAATATTTTTTTCTTTTATTCAAATTCCATGAAAAGTTTTATATCCCAGAATAATTCAGATAAGTGTATATTTTGCGTTGGTGAATGAAATATGTGGCCAAAAAGAAAGTGTACATATATCTATTTTATTTTTATCCCGGGTCGCTCTTCCAACGCCTGTTTGTACCACTCGAGATTGTGAGGTTCTCTGCAACACAAGCCCGGCTAGTTCAGTCGGTAGAGCATGAGACTCTTAATCTCAGGGTCGTGGGTTCGAGCCCCACGTTGGGCGCTTCTTTTTGTTATAAGAAAAGATTTTCTTATTAAACTAATACAACTTTGAAATAATTAAATTTTTATATTAATTATATTGGATTGACTATATTTTCATTGTTCAAAGAGTAACGAGAGAATCAGTGAACGGCAATTTTTAAATTCAAGGGAACCACAAAGAGTACTAAATATAATGAAAACGAAGAAATTTATTTAGTGTCTTCAAATGTTTTTATTAAAGGTACTAGATTTGTGAACTTTCTAATGTAAGTTTCGGTAAGTTTAATATTTAAGCACAATCAGTGAAACGCAGACTGAATGAACAAAAGAAACTAAAAAAAATTGTGAAAATAAAGGAAACATAGTCAGTAAAAAAAAAAAAACATTTCACTAAAGCCTAAATAATTTTTGGCTTGTGTTTTTTACAACTCAAAATAGTCTCACAACACAAACGAGAAAGTCATTTGGCTGAGTATGTTGTTCTCAGGCCATTGAATATGAAATTTTGTCCAGAATCGAATCGTACACGCCATATGACATCTTTTCTATCCTTTTTATTCCGGGGCACTTATTATTGACACGCGCTCAAACACAGTCGTTCATTTCGAGGCTGCACGCTTATAAAAGAGGGCAAAAGAATTATCAAACCCGGCCCGAACGAGAAAAAGCGCTGACTAGGGCTTAAGGTCACGAGGTCACGCACCAGGCTCGGATATCAAAACTGCTAGGGCGGTCCGTCTCTTATCAGCCAAAACCAAACGACAGCCGCAGTCATAATTTGAATTTTAATTCACGCGCCTCGTTAGCGTGACTCGCTTTATCGACCGTCGATTCCAATCTATTGTAATTTTTTTTCCATGTTTTTCTTTTTTTATTTTGCTGTTGTGAAAATATGGAAGTGAAAGCGGAGGTGCGAACGACGCCGCCCAAGGTGTGTGTGTGCGGCTGGATTTTCTCAGCTGCTCTTTCACTCAGCCAGCCACACGTGTCAGTCAAATGAGAACATAAATAAGACGCCGGATCAATATTTCAGTGAACCTCATCTCGCTCACTGTTCTATCAGTCTCTATCACACTCGGCGTCGCGCGGCGGCCAACGCTCTCCGCAAGCAAAGAGAATTTATGCGCCATTCAAATCACCACCACATACTTCTGTGCACGCTTGAATACTTGATTGATTTTTCAATGCCCACTTCAAATTCACAACTTTTTGCTACTTAAGAGGAAAAGGAGACGGCCACATCGGTCGTAGCGAATGCATGACGCATGAATGTACTTAGCTTGACGTGTAATCGCACATTTTTTTTAACAATTACATTGAAATATTGTACCATCTCTAAAGATAAAAGATGACTCATACCAAAAATAAGCATTTTGATCTAAGATTTCAATAAAAACATATATAATTATAAAAATTGACGCATGAGAGTGTGTAGTGTGTAAATTTACAAAATTTATTTTTAACCCTCTAAATTTATTTCAACATTTGATTTTTATAAACAAAACAGTAAA